TTCTCCTCCTCATCGGGGCTAACCCTAAACCCCAGTAAATGTGTTGAGTGTTTATATAGTCTTGCTCGCTCCCCATATCCGACAGACCCCACAGTGATTAATAACAACCCTTTATCCAGGGTGAACTTTGTAAAATATCTTGGTATAACCATAGATAGCAATCTTCATTGATCAACCCACATCCACAATTGCATTGGTAAACTGCGGCGTCTATCATTTCAAATCTCTCAGGCAGTTTCGCGCATCCCAGTCAGTTATTTCTACCTTTGTTTATCAGTGTGTTTTCTCTTACTCTACTGTTTCCCAGTTATTTTTCCTGCCTTACTCAAACAATATTTTAAAGTCTTTAAAGTCGTGTCTCTTCTATTCCTGTGAATGAGTTAGCTTTAAACTTTCCAGAGTATCACGTAACTTCCTTTGTGAAAATTGCTAAGAGAATTCTCACAGATCCTGAGCACCGATTGCACGCATAACTGACACGTTGTCGTTCTTATCATTCAACAGGCTCCCAATTCTGTCAAATTTCATCTCGAATTAACGTTTACCGCAATTCAACTATGCCGTATCTTGCTCGTCTACTCATAAACAAAGAGCGGACAATAAGTGAACTTTGTTTTAACTTTGGGTTATGAAATATCCTCGTGTCTATGACAATTTTTTCGTAGTTTGCTATGTACATTGTGACGGTTAGCGTGTATGATTTTCTAACTGAAATGTGAGCTCCAGTGCTTGCAAAGTTTATATACAATACAATACAATGGAGTAGAACAGTATCTTTTCTGTTTCTGCACACTAAATCTGCGAGAGTAACACAGAGATTAAACACCATAAAACACTTTGAGAGTCCAGTCATATCAAAGTAATCTTTGCAGACAGGGTTTTTTCGTAGGATGCATTTGTACGAGCACCACATGTGTGACTAGTTGTTTTACCGGATCAAATTGAAATTTATTTATACAACTAATTCGAAATTCAACGTACTCATTGTGGTTGGATTTGGCCCGACACAGCCATGGCATTTACCGTCTGAGCGTTGTGCAAACATGGAAAAACAGAATTCAAGACACTGCCAGAAGATTGGTCCATGCAGTAGCATTTTTAGCCATATCGAATGTAATAATATTGCAGATCCTTTAGACAACAATCACGGCATAATGTACCGGGGAGTAATAGATCAGAAGACACTAAACCTATTGCTCGCATATCAAGACCTTTCCATTCGGATGTTTTTAGATCCTCACCACCGAGTGCTGACTGATTCGATGAAAGCACCACATCCTTGGTGTGAATTTAAACGAGACGGAATGTGAGAATGGACAATTCCAAAGCCCTAAAGTAATCCGATAAACAGAACGTGTTTTGACAGAATGGGGCTATACACTGTGTCTGATTCTTTATTCATCTAGCTGTGAATAATCCAACAGATTAGTAAGAAGCAACCCAGTCTTGTAACAATTACGTCTCAATAAAAAAATTCAGTGAATCCAACGAAAGCATGTATTTTGAATAACAAGTATCAATGAAAAGACTTACCATCAATTAATCGTTCATAACTTCGTCTCAGGGCCATCTCGTGTGGTGGTTGAATGGACCGCTTGACTCGAATATCCAATCGATTTTTCGCGTCAAGAATAATCAGTCGAAATGCTTTCTCATAATCCGGTTCAGTTTCCGGTCCCGGAATCAAAATGCGAAGCTGTTACCAAATCGAATTTAAGCAAAATGAAAACCCAGAGAACAGAAGGTTCAGTGTATCTGTTGTCTCCAATTATCATTATCTAAGTCTCGATCAATCGTCTAATCATCTGTTTTCCTGTTGCATCGCACAAGAACAGTCCTGAGGTTGAAAAGGTGATGAATTCGTGAGGTTTTCAGAAATAAGACAAAAATACTGGCTTACTCAACGTAATTTACTAAAAACAAACATACAAACAACAATTACTGGACCCGTCAAAAAAGATTTCACCTGGCAAAACACAATTCCTGATTCTTATTGCACAAACAAATTATAAGCTAATGAACATAGACTGTAGTGTCAATTGGACGCACTTGAAATTTTCTTTCCTCGAACACACCCACATCGTATTCGACTAGCGGTTCACCGTCCGGTTCGTTCACACCAAGTGGATCACTCGGATCAACCTCACCCGCACCGGGCTCATCTTCCACCTCTACCGTGGCGTCGGCAAATTCACGTTGACGAAATCGAGAACCGGCGTGCTCTGACGCCGTACTGTCAGCATCACTACTAATATCCGGGTAAACTCGCAGTCTGAACAAGCCGGGGAACTGATCTACCTGACCGGTCAAATCAATCACCCAGTATCTTTGCATACGACCTGTCAGGGAGTCTGAAGAGACACTCGAGCCGGATGTATCAAAAGATCCGTGAGTTTCTACTGATTTCATCTCGGTATAATGCGCGTCTGCACGATTTGAGCCTTCCATGCCAGTTGCACCACTGACCCAAGCTAGCGCGAGACTAGCGCGTAGATACTGACCTCGTTCGACTGAGGCAGGACTGAACACAGCACCCAACAAAGATGCACTTCGAGGTAAGCTGAAGGTGAGCTGGAAACGGGGGGAGGGTGACAGGGATGAAAGATTCTTCTCCAGGGAAAACAGTTTAACGATGAGAACATGAAAGCGCACCTTTTAGGAGAACAAACTGGGTTCTGATGTAGTAGAAAATTGATCACAAGTCGATTATTTGTCATTTGTTTTACACAGTGAGTAATTTCCTTCATAATAGTTGTGCGCGCATGTTTTCAGCAAATGAGCTTAATGGGAGGGGTTGAGATAAATCTGAGAGGTTATTTTTTTGTGTGGAACAAACACTCGCCGATTACCAAATGCGTGAAATGTGATGGTTACTTGAAAATGAAAAGTCGAACAAACACGGTTTATATTCTGAGCTGCGAACTACGTGCCATGTCAAGAAGAAGTGAAACGTTAAGGCAAGCTTTTCTCGGTTTATGGGAGTCTCATCAGAGATCTGATTTGAAGTGCTGGATTTTATGATGCTTCGCACACCATATTCGTGCACCGTAACACCCGAAGGGGGTGAACTCTATCGGCCGAACCGCTGGACAGCTACTGTGCAGAACATTCGAACGCTACCTATGCTGGACAAGTCGGAAAGGAAGCGGGAACAAACTTTGAACAGAATACCCAGCAGTGTGTCCTGATGAAAGTTTGCATCTGACAAGTTACCCCAAATATCATCATCTCACGAAGGGATAGTAATCCAAATACTAAATATCGAATCACAATATTGATTCATCAATGAGCTGTTTCTGAAAGAGCAGCCCAAACAAATTAGATTACGCTGACGAAAAAACACTTACCGGGTACAAGTATATACATGAAGTGACGAATGATTACGGAAATTAATGATTGATGATCGACAAAAGCCGCGAAATCGGTTCAATACAGCCGGGGAAATTTTGGTCGAGTTACTTATACAGTACTCATTGCAATGTATATATAGTGAACATGTGACGAGACAGTATTAGAAGTATTATGCAGGCTACGGAACATTGTTCTAAGTGACCTACTTAACTATTGATGTCGTCGAATAAAACATATATTACTTCGCATAAGCTACCTATTGTTCCCAGATCAAACAACGGGTGTTTGTTTCTAAAACGTTGATATATTAAGGACGATACGAGAAACTGCAATCATCCATAATACAAATCATTGTAAGTAAACAATGGCGGACGGCGTCCTGACACAAGCATTGTTCAATGATTCTATCCGATTTTAAACCGGTAGAATATTACCCCAATAGCAGAAAATTTAGTGCCACTAATTGAATATTTTGACGTTTACTTAATCACACACAAAACTTGGTTCATGAGGCAAAACATGGTGAGAAAAAATTGTTTTCTAAATGGGTACATAGAAATGGGGACATAGATCGCGTTGGACTATCTGGATGGAGGAACCTCGAGATTATGGTAACCGGTGGTTAGAGACACTGAGTGATGTGACTCAGTCGCCTGGTTGCATCAACTATTCACTATCCTTGAAACGCCAGTCTATATGGAATTCGCAATCTCCTATCTGACTGTGCTCTCAAGATTCCATTCAACTTTATACTCTTTTATTCGAACGGGCAATCTAAAGACAATAAACAGAACCGCCGCATCGAAGTGCATAGTTAATAGCTGTGAAAAGTGAAAGTAAACAAGCTCATATTCAGTGACTCAATTTTGTTAAATATACATCACGAAATACACTTTGCATTGTTGACACGCGGAGATTATTTCGAGTTAGGTGACCTATCTACTACAGTGATCATGTGGTGCTTTGTTTGATGGGTGCAAAAAGAGGACAGACACACGATGAACCATTAGAACCGTAAATATTCACCCACCGCCCACCCTCGTGTGTCGACAATCGTGCTACCGGTTAGGTACGGGCATGATTACGGAAAACGGAGCTAGTTCAGCAAGCTACGTCGTTCCTAGTAAGTAATGCATAAAACGACAGCATGATAACAACGGAACATAATGCACCGTTTTATCGATAATCTTTTTATATTGCCGAGTTAAAATGGAAGTGGGGAAAGTTGAAATCAACAAACCGGACGATATGGTGCAATATCCTACTCACCTTTGGTTTTGTTTTTGTATGTGAAACTGTGTACAGATAGTTGCCGACATACTCGACCTGAAATTGAGGGAATGGGGTGGACAATAAAAGTGTATGTGCATAACAAAGGGTCATGTGGTGGTGGTGGGTGATT